TGAAGCTGGGGCCAAGGCGATCAACTTGTTGAGAATCATCTGGTCGAGGAAAGCGTTGGAGAGCTTCTTATCATCAGTTAACTTCTTATCGTATTCGGCCAACATACGTCGAGCACGCGCTAGAAACGTGCCGAAGTTAGTACCAGGAGCCCACCGAAGATCATGAAAGTTATCCAAGAGAGCGTCGGCTGGTCGATGAGCCAGCATCTGCAGCATGATAATCATGCCATGATTCGACTGTCCTCCTCGAAGGTCTGCTTAGAGGCGTACTGATCCCACATCTCGTAGAACTCATCGGTGAGGTACATTCCTAAGCGAGAAGCCTTCGTAGACGAAGCCCAACCGACAGCATTAGCAGTGTTCTCGTAGCGTCTCAACTATGCAGCAAAGTCGGTGGTACCACTGTATCGTTTAGGCATTTGCAGATTGACACGAAGTTCCTCCTTGTGGCCACTGTCGATAACTGGAGCCTGAGGGCGTACAGAACCAGCCTCAGCCCGAGTTGACAAGGCGTCAAAGAGGTCGTTGTAGTCTCTGGCATGGTCAACGGCCAACCGTATGTGATACTGAGTAGCATCGTCGTCCATACCAGCAGCAGTAGCATCTGCTCTTGCTTGCTCTTCAATGAGCGACAGATCCTTCTTCTGAATGCCAAGATCGTTATCAGGTGACGACATTGAGACTCTCAATTTGAGAGCCAAGCACGTAGAGGAGGGTCCTAACCACTGATAAGGGATAACCGAGCTTAAGGGAAACGAAGTTGTAGTAATAGCAACAAGGAGCTGCTACCAGAAATGTAGTCCGTCGAGAGGAGAACTACAGTGGGTCACTGTCAGTGTCACTGACTCAGTGACCAAGATCGTTCTGCTATTACTAGTGAACTCGACAGTACGTTTAACGTACTACGTTAGTCCGAAGGTCGACTAAGTACAGTACACCAGAGCTCGTAAGCAAAGTAATTCCGTGAGGTTCTCACGGTGAGGAACCACAAGCAATGCCGTAAGGAACAACAAAGCGTGACGCCCAGATGGTGACGTGACGCACCCATCGATTACGCTACAGGGCGAACGAGAGTAGAACTGAGTCCTAAGTCTAAGGGAATGTCAAGCGATCAAGTCAGCAAGTTCCAAGGTCTACACGCCGCAGCTGGGAATTAAACCCCAGTGACTATCATTCGTGGACTATTCGAGTACAGGGTATACGTGATAGGGTCGCAAAGGGGCCACAGTAAAAAGCGGGCCGAAAGCCCGCTATTCTAGTCTATACATAACATCTTTCCGCGTGTGTGGACATTCAATACCGAATCGAGGTCCCCGTGTAAAGCACAAGCACAGAAGGTACAGAAGAACATGAACGCTAACGGTGAGCGAGATAACCGCATATCGTCCAGAAACTCCAATGCAAAGTACTGTTACCGATGCGGGAGCTATCAGCATATCCGTGCTTCATGTCCAGTTCCCCAAGGCATCGAATGCACAGCGTGCAAGCGAAGCGGGCACATGATGGCGGTATGCCCTGATATCGACTGTCGAGTATGTAAGCGCAAAGGCCATATTGCTCGATTATGCCCTGAAAGAAAACACCCT